TTAAAAATATCAATAATAAACCCTTTTCCTCCTACTTTCGCTCCCCTTCTTCCACTTGTTTTAGGTTAAAATTTTAAAAAGCTAAGTAAAAATATTTTGAATAAGTTAAACTTCTAAAAAAGATAATACAAATCCTAAAGAAAGCCCAAAACCGGGAAATTGAAAATTTGCAGGCCCGGGTTTTATTGAGCCTGTTTATAGGTACTGTCAAATGCAAGTTACCGTCCCCGCCCCCTAGCACCCGGGTTAAGCAGAATTCAACATTTAACATGAACTGGTAAAATTTAGAATTTTTTGAAACCCGCTGATGTGTTCTTGCGGTTATAGGGAACCTTCAATGTGCAGTTGGGGCTTCCATGAAAGCGGCATATGGTTTCCCAAGTAATAAAAGGCGTGTCCCCAAACGAAAAAAAATTTGGGGGGAATTAAATTTAAAAAGGGGAATTTTGAAAGGGGATCAGGGGTTTTAAAAGCCGGGTTTACCCACAGATAAACGAAAAAGACAAATTTTAAAAAGCAGGCAATACCCTTTAAGGGGTTGATTCAACTTTTATTAAAGTAGGAATTTGGAACCCCCCCAACCTTAAAAAATGCCAAAAAGTTGAAACTAAAAATACCAAAAAGGGACAAAAAAAAAAGGGCCCGTGTGAACGTTTTAAAGGATCAAAAAATTTTAACACATTGTTTAAAATGTAGGGGGGGATTTTTAAAAGCCCCCACACGGCCAAAATAACAGGAAATTGTTTCAAAAAAATAGATAAATACAGACCCCCTAAAGGAAACCCCAAACCCACGGAAAAATTGAAAATTTTGCAGGCTCGGTTTGTTTGACTGTTCTGGCCCGGTACGGGAAAATTTGCAATTACCGTCACGCCCCTGCACCGGCTTAAGCAAAATTTTAACCCTTTTAAAATAAAAAATGAAAAATTTTTAAAATTTTAAAAAACATCCGCAGTTTGTGTTTCCAAAACGGCGGTTATCATGGCCTTTCAATTTTTAACCCAATTTTCCTTTGCCATTCCATGAAAAGGGGCAAAAAGGGGCCCCCCAAAGTAAAAAAGGGGGGGTTGCCCAAAACCCGGGGGAAAAAAAAATTTGGGCGGAACTTAAAAAAAGGGTTTTTTAAAAAGGGGATCAGAGGTTCTGAACCCCTGCGTAATCACAGTTTTAAGACGTAAAAAAAGAAAAATTTTAAAAAAAGCAGGGAAACCTTTTCCTAAGGGGGGATTAAACATTATTCAAGTAGGAATATTTGGAAACCCCACCCAACTAAAAAATCCCGAAAGTTAAAAACTAAAAATCCCAACAAGCACAACAATAATGACTTTGCTAAAACGTTTCTTAAAAGGTTTCGAATAATTTCCCTAAAAACAAAAAAGGGGGTTTAGTGTTTGTGGGGCTTTAAGTTTTTCCTAGTTAAATTTATCGTATCAGTTAACGAAATATTTAAACCCTTTTTAAAAATGCATAAAAAAACATTTTAAAATAAATCTCTATTTGATTTTCCCAAAAATAATTTTCCCTTTTATTTCAATGGAAAAAAACTTTCCCAATACGACTTAGGTTTTTTTGGGTTTCTTTTTTATGATAAGGGAAACCTTCGGGGAAAACTCTCATAGACAATCAGTAAAACCCCTTTTGGGTTTTTTTTAAGATTATGAAAATTTTCGGGAAAATTTTTAAATTTTCGTGTTAAAACTATGCAATCTTTTTAAAATCCCCTTTGGCGAATTTGTTTTTTAAGTTTTAAAACCAGATGCAGTTTTCATAGAAATTTCAATTTTTTTTTGGGTGCCCTTGAATTATTAAAAATTTTTTTTCTTTTGGGTTTTTAATTTCCCCTTTTAGCTTTTTGAAAAAACCAAAATAGAATTTTTTTGGGAAGTTTTTTTAAAATAGGGTTTCATTTACTTTTGTTTTTTTCCCAAATTTGGGATTTTATTTTTTTCTAATATATTTTTTTGAAATTTAAACGGCAATTGTACATTGGCAATTTTCGATTAAGCGTCTGCTATCCAAATACCCAACCAAAACGGGTACAACCCTTTTTTAAAAAATCTATCATGTTTTTTTTTGCTTCATCGCAGCCCTTTGCCGGGTTTAGGGGTCATGAGGGAAATTTTTTGCACTTCTCATACCCCTTTCAGTTTTAGCCCGGAAAACGCAAATTTTAAATTGAAATTTGGGTTGTAAAGGGGAATGTTTACGGGGATCCGCGTTTTTTCAGATTTTATTCGTTTTTATTTTCTTTCTTACCATGTTTTACTTTAGAAAATGATACTTTTAAATAAAAAATCCCTTTGGGAAAAAAAAATTTAAAAACGGGAGAGCCCAAAGCCCCCTCTCAAAATTTTTCTGGGGGGCTTTTTGGTTTCCCCGCGTTTTGCGATATATTTTTTGTTGTGTGTTTGGGTGTTTGTCTTTCTGTCTGTTTATTGCCTTAATATTTTCGGCTGTTAGCCCATTATATTGGCGCGTCACGACCAAAAACCACATAATGGGTTGCGACCATCATGAGACGGATCCAGACCAGCTGCGCATACCGGGCAGTTTGATCACGGATCATGCTGTTCGGTCCATTAAAACCATTTAACAAGTAGAGAAAATGATAGCGAACAGCATGGATCCTGGATAGCTTCTCAGCATAAAATATTTCAAACCACCCGCTGGCGGGTTTCAAGCTCATTGCGATAAGAGGCAAGCGATGTTAATACCTATAATGAAATTTGTTTTATGGCTATGTCTTTCGAAAAATTGAATTCTTTGCTCAGAAACGTATATATATAATGACTCAAATAATAATTATTATAATTTTGTTTTTTATAGTGCAGTTTTTTATTGTGATATCAATTCACTCGAATTTCCATTATGTTTTAATTACTTATTTAGCGTTGTATAACAGCTACAGATATTTTCATGACCTTAATTCTTGATTGTTCCATGTTTGGGGGCTGAGGTTGATGTGGAATTCCTGTCTAGCTCTAAATTGTTAGTGTACAAGTAAAAGTATAAAACACTTTAAAACTTTGCTTAAGTTTGCTTGTAATTGTTATATTTATCAACATGATAATCAATAACACTTTACTTATGTAAGTTCTATAAATATATCCTTCAGAATGTATATATAACAATAAAATGTGGACAGTCATTTCTCATATTTAAACAGTTTGATAGCTTACAATTGTCTTTTATCATTTTATGATCCAAATAAACATTAATCAAACCTTTTGAAATATCATAACATAAATTTAAGTTCAACCTTTGTCAAGAAAAGTTAATTTAACATTATTGTCAATGTTGCTGCTTTTGATCTCTTGATATTTTAGATATCCAATAAGATGTAGAATGGAAACTATTACTTCACTTGCCGCCAGAATAGAACCTATGTCAGCACAAAGGATAGTTAGGCTAGTATTAAATTACTTCTTTTTTGATCTTTAATTAGTACTGTTCTTCATTTTTTCCCAGATTTTACAATTGTCTAGATGAAAATAACGTATGAATATAGTTGTACATTAAATTAACATAACGCAACGGTTTTTAAGATTGATATGGAATTAGTTATATCTTTCCCATTTAAATCTCATAGAAACACAGCTATACGACTACATAAAAATGTGATTCAAAAGAATTCTAAAAGGCTGATGTTTTTATAACAACGACTGAAAAATAAGGAAGATCACTATTGTTTCTCTTTTAATATTGAAAACATTCATCGTTGTCTTATAATATTCAAAATATTCATTGATTTTTTTCTCACATTCCAAACATTCATTGTTTACTCATATATTAAACTTTCATTTAAGAAAAAACAGTATCGGTCTGACTAATGATTAGTGACTGTTAAAATTTTGTTCGCATTTTACAAGCGTTGATTACTTCCGGTGATTTTCGTATAACGCTGCTCGATTTTGCACCTTACTGTTGCAAGGATATAGTAGTTATTGAACTATCAAGTTTTCAACAATTCAAACTGGATTGTATTGTGTATACATCAGTGCTCGATTAATCATTATTGTCAGTTTAAAATGACGTCATTCATCACGCCTTTGGATCAAACATGTTGGGGTAGAATTTGTAAGATATTATTTTAGCATTACAATGTATAAGAAAAAACATCGGAAAACGGAAAAAATCAAGAAAAATGCCGCAAATATTGTTAACTATAAATTATTAACTAAATATAGAGGAAGAAAAAATAACAGCCGAATAATATGTAGTCCCTAACCCGTGTTTATTGGCAATTAAACACCGTTTTTTTTTACTTCTTTGTGTATAAAAATATACATGTAGCTCCTGACCCGAGTTAATTGGCAATTAAACACCGTTTTTTACTTCTTTGTGTATAAAAACAAAATCACGAGGAGCGTTAGAATGTTTTATAACATTCAAATATTTTTTTTGTTTTATGCTATGTAACAGCTCACCATTCGTGATAACATAATGGTATTTTTAACTAATTCGTTAGAAATGATAATTTGTCACAATGGTTAATAATGTTTTTTAATTTAATTTACACTGAGGTAAGATTTAAATGCGTTTCAAACCCTTTGTACAAAATGCACCTACCCGGCTTGCTCGGGAAGACTGCCATTGGACGGTGTTTAAAACGAAAATGTATTCGATTATGAATTACCTTATTAAGACATGTATACATAAGCTTGGATTCAACGCGGTGCATTATATCCTAAGCATTTGCATTGCACTATTACGTTTTTTATTTTTAGTATTTTCCATTTTACTGTCTTTCATTATTGTCTTCAAATCTTTTATAAATAATTACATTATAAGATATAATAAAACATTACAAAAGCACTGTTCACGTAGTTGTATGAGTTAAGTTTTATTTGAATCCATAGCGAGGTTGATATTTTGCCAAACATATTATGATAGATGTCAGCTCATGTGTAATAAGATATACAATATTCAAATAAAGTAAGTAAAAGAGTTGAATTTTCATAAAATAGATAAAACTGTTAATTAGTTTCTTCTGATCTTCATTACAGATTTCTTGAGAGAGTAATAATGACCCAGCAGCCGTACCAAACAACACCCCGACCAAATTCAGGGTTTGCTCCGTATAGGTAAAATCCATTAAGATTAACGTTATGACATTCTTTGTACCACCAACCTCCACTGAATGCCACTGCACAATTGCCACCATAACTATCATAATCATTGTCTTTTGTTGAAAATTGACAATTGTAATGATACAACATGGAATCACCGCACGACCCGTTATATCCCCCAATCGCCAATCGGTAATTATCACTCTCGTCAGTAATGTTGAAGGTAGTATACTCAGCAAAAGCAGAAAATGGATTCTTTTTGTCATTTGGAAATGTTTCCATGTAAACGTACAGGGAACTGTCGTTACGTGTCAAATGATAAATAGTTTCAAGCCCAAGCCAATACTCGCCACTCCTGTTCCCAAATCCTTGTTTGTATTCCTCCCAATTTCTGTAGAAATCTTCAGATCCGTCTTGCCGGCGTTGTATAACCGTCCATCCACCATTGGTCATATCACACCACACATCAGTGGCAGTACTTCCGGTTGGTTGAATCACATAAACACCGTCTTCGGTATAGTCTTGTTGATAAAGAGCAAGACAATCAAAGGGCTCTGGGTATTTATGTTTTCTTTTTACTCTTTGACTGCCTTCCTGTAAAACAAACATTATACATTTGAGGACTTTTATTTTTCTACAAAACACCATTAAATTTTAATTGTTAATAGCATGACTTTAAGTAAAATAAAATGTTTGTGGAAATTATGCAAATCGCTCTGTTTGATATTTTAGCACATTACAAATACATTGTTGATATTAAATTAAATTGATAAATGTTAAACCATTAGTGATAAGATTTGGGCTATGCTCTTACAAAGAGACAAAGTAAACCACTCATGTCATGCATGTAATAATCAGAATTACCCCCATATAATAACTTTAATACACCAATGTCGTCACTTATATCTTATCAATATCGTCACTTATACTACGCCAATATCGGCACTTATATCACGACAATATCGGCAGTTATACTACTCCAATATCGTCAATTATACAACGCCCATATCGTCACGTATATAACGCCATTATTGTCAGTTATACTACGCCCATATCGTCACGTATACTACGCCTATATCTTCACTTATACAACACCCATATCGTCACATTTACAACGCCCATATCGTCACTTATTATACGCCCATACCGTCACGTTTACAACGCCCATATCGTCCCTTAAACTACGCCAATATCGTCACTTATACAACGCCTATATCGTCACTTATACAACGCCCATATCATCACGTATACAACACCCATATCGTCACATAAACTACGCCAATATTGTCACTCATACTACGCCCTTATTGTCACTTATAATACGCCTATATCGTCACTTATACTAGTACGCCGACATCGTCATTTATATTACACCCATATCGTCGCTTTTTTACAATTTAAATAGATAAAAAAGAGAACTTAAACATATACAACGCCCATATTGTCATTTATACTACACTCATATCGTCACTTATACTACACCGACATCGTCATTTGTAATACGCCATTATCAATGTTATCGTCACTTTTACTACGCCCATATCGTCATTCATAGTACACCCATTTCGTCGCTTTATACAATTTAAAATAGATAAAAAATAAAAGTTAAAAAACATCCCAAAACGGCAATAGTGTTATAGGATTGATTTGTTTCAGCCTGTTGGCAAATTGAATCCACGGCACCTAGCAGAACTCTATCTGTAAACATGAAGATGTTGTCGAGTTAAAAAAAAATTTGAAAGACCCTCCATTCGTAGATAATGTAACTTTCAATATGCATAACGGCGAAATGAAATCATACTAGTCCATTTAAATTCCATTGTACCACCCCAGATAACAATTTGTGTGCGAGCGAGCGAGCGAGCGAGCCTGCTTGCGTGCGTGCGCGCGCGCGCGCGTGTGTGTGTTTTATTATTTTTAATTTTCAAAATAAAGTGCCACATAAGTCTAAATGTTAGTCAAAGGCCATTAAGAAATCGTTACTTGTTAACATAAATAAAAGAATCTATTTGCTGTACCAAGATATTTTTTACGATAAGTCTAAGAAAAGTGACAGATAAGTTGTTTAGATATAAAGTGCCAATTATAAACAAACGATAACAACTTGCCATGCACTTAAAAGCTGCATGCCTCCAGATAATCCAAATTATTTTAAGAAAACCAGTTATTAACCCAATTAGGGCTATGTTTGCTCTATTTTTTTAAATTGGCATTGGTTGTTAATGTCGTTTGCAATATTTAAATTATTTTCTTTGTTCACTTAACAATATTTTACTTTTTAATAGTTTTCAAAATTTTCATGAAAATTAGATTGAATCTGAAGGTGTGCTTTAAGATGATGGTTGAATTAAAGACACAATGTGATAATTATCTAAAATGTACAATACAAATGATAAAGCAAGGTATGTAAAATATGGATTTGTTAGGTGTCAGAAAAATTGACCTCTTCATGTTGTCTTCCAAACTGACTGAGTCCTTAAAACAGGTGTCAAAGACTATTACGTTATTTCTATTTTTAAATAAATGATGATAAATGATGATTGTTTTTTAAACACTCTCTTAAAAACGTAGTTACAAATAAAATTTACAACTACAACCTTTTCAGGTAGCAAGTTTAGAAAAAACTAGAACTATCACTAAATGTGATTAATACCCCCACAAGTCTGCTTCGGAAATGAGGATGTTACTAGTAACAGAATACCTTGTAAAAGAATTGAAACATAGAGTTATGGTTGTGGGCAATAAAAGATAATTGTGGTTCATGTATGTTGCATTTCCTTTCAATGTGGTTGGCCATTGATGAAGTTTAATTGAATTACTCTGTAATAAATCCAGAAGGACAAAGAAAAAGAACACAGGGCAATAACTCTATAAATACTGAAGATAGAGTTATAGTTCTTGTGCACTGCACTTCCTCTTATTGTGCTTGACCATTGTATGAAGTTGTTTTGAATTCCAACCAGTACGTTTTAAGTTATGCTCCGGACAAGGAAATGTATCAAAGGGCAGTAACTCTGTATTTTGTCAAAATGGAGTTATGGCTCTTGTGCACTGCACTTCCTTTGAATGTCCTTGACAACTGTATGAAGTTGTACTGAATTCCAAACAGTAGTTTTCAAGTTATGCTCTGGACAAGGAAAAGTAACAAAGGGCAATAACTCTGTAATTAGTCAAGATGGAGTTATGGTTCTTGTGCACTGCACTTCCCCTTATTGTGCTTGACCATTGTATGAAGTCAGGCTGTCAACCAGGTCTTATCCAAAATAAAGGAGGAATATAGGAATATTTTTGCAGGAAATATAGGAGTTTTTGGACCATTTAGAGGCAAAAAATAGGAGTTTTCAACTTAAATTGTTTAACTTACCAATGCTTACATAAATGTAAATTATTCTTACTTTTACACATGCTGTTTCTACAATAAAATGTCTACCGTATAAGTGAAGGACACCATTAGTATGTTGTCCAGAACCTTCCGACATAAAATTAGGGTGAATTTTAGGGTAATATTTCAGAAATTTTAGGGCTGAAATAAGGAATGTTAGGGTACGTTATCAAAATTTTAGGGCTAAAATTTGCAATTTTATAACTAAATAAACTAAGGTCCCAAAGGACCATGATGAGGGCTAATCTTTGCATTTTTGACACAAAAGTAACTCACAAATAATGCTCTAGTTTAGTTAGAGCAAAGGTGCTACCAGTGTGGACTCACTGGTCAACTGCCTCCCCTGTGGAAATGGTCTTAGTCTAATCATGTTCAAACCAAATTTTTTTAAATGTCAAAAAGAACATGTTTTACCTATGTTTTGGGAATGTTATAACCACAAGTGTCTAAAAGGAATTCTTATACAGTAAAATGCTTGCACAATGCAGCTTTTGAATATGGACAAATGAAATTTTTTGTACAAGTAGGAAGTAAAAAGGCATTTGCCTAAGTACAGTCATTTGAATAAATGGGAAGCATCTATAATCAACACAAAGAATTGCACATCAAAAAAGTTCATCACACAGACCATTCAATTGCAGTTTATCTCGATCACATAATTGCAAAATGTGTGTACATTGTAATTGGAAATGAGCTTTATATCACTGAACTGCCAAATTATTTTTGAGTGTGATTAATTATATGAGTCAGCATTTTCCTAAATTGTACAATTGTACCAGATGAATGAAAGAACAAGAATTGAATGAAATTGAAAACTTTGTGGCAAATTAAGCAATTTCTCCTACAAAGACATCGAAAAGGATAAATAAGTATGAGGGAAAGAATTAATTGTTCAAAGTCTATGTTAACCCATTCAGTACTTTACAATGTTGTTTTGATATTATGCAGATTTATATAAAAGAGTTGTGAGTAAACAAATTGTACGTTAATTTTTGACAACTATTTATACATGTTTTTAATTAAGATTGTGTTACAACAGCTTCATAATGATCATTTTTAAATATGATATGATATAAATGGACCACTTCAGAAATTTTGATAAAATGAACAAACATAAAATTCAAGATATCTGGAGTTGGCAAAAAAGTGTCAAAATATTTCAGAATAAGTGGACTCTTATGGTTATGATTTGAGTTTCAGGACCATGATATGGTAGTATTTTTGCTGTCAACATGATTATCAACAACTGCTTTGATTATGAAATAGCAATGTTTCTGACATAGTCAAAATAACTTTTAGTTAAAACGAAACCAGATCAATGTCATCAATTTTGAGTTGGCAAATCATGGCCAAATCATTTTTGTCCATGTTCAAAACATGGTTGACTTAGTTATGTCCGTGATTATTTTGACAGGGTTACAAGTTATAAGTATGTTTATAACAAAAGATAAAATAATGAGGATTTTCAGTGAAAAAATAGGGCATCTTTAGGAACTCCCTTTGATTTTTTCACTTTTTTAGAAATTTTTGCCAAACTGAAAAAATTTGGATTTTTTTAAGAATTTTAGGGACACAGCGGACAGCCTGCATTAGCTTTAAACCACAGCATCAGCATCCTGGCAGAAAGTTACAGCAATGCATGACCATTATCTGAATGGTCACCTGAAATAAAGTTGACATACTGATGCACTGCTTTTCATGGTGACCAAGCAGATTGCTATGTGGAGCACAGCAGCCTTGAGCATAGTAATGTGATGCTGATGCAGGCATACACATTCTCTTACCTGTAAAATACAAAAGGCCAAAAGCAGTACCAAAATTTAAATCTCTTTGAATTCCTCGGCAATATATTTTTAAAAAAATATAGGAAAAATATTCAAAATATAGGAGAATATAGGAAAAATAGGAGGCTTTTTAAAATATAGGATTCCAACCCAAAATATAGGAGTTTTATAGGAATATAGGAATTGGTTGACAGCCTGTGAAGTTGTTTTGAATTCCAACCAGTAGTTTTCAAGTCATGCTCTGGACAAGGAAAAGTAACAAAGGGCAGTAACTCTGTAATTAGTCAAGATGGAGTTATCGTTCTTATGCACTGCACTTCCTCTCAATGTGCTTGACCATTGTATGAAGTTATAATGAATTCCAACAATAAGTCTTCAAGTTATGGTCCGGAAAAAAGAAAGCAATGGAAAAGTAACAAAGGGCAATAACTCTGTAATTAGTCAAGATGGAGTTATGGTTCTTGTGCACTGCACTTCCCCTTATTGTGCTTGACCATTGTATGAAGTTGTTTTTTTGAATTCCAACCAGTAGTTTTAAAGTCATGCTCTGGACAAGGAAAAGAAACAAAGGGCAAGTAACTCTGTAATAAGTCAAAATGGAGTTATGGTTTCTTATGCACTGCACTTCCTCTCAGTGTGCTGGACCATTGTATGAAGTTATAATGAATTCCAACAATTAGTCTTCAAGTTATGGTCCGGACAAAAGAAAGCAATGGAAAAGTAATAAAGGGCAATAACTCTGTAATTACTTTAGATAGAGTTATGGTTCTTATGCACTGCACTTCCTCGCAATGTGCTTGACCAATGTATGTAGTTATATTGAATTCCAACCATTAGTCTTCAAGTTATGCTCCGGACAAAAAAAAGAAGGCAATTGAAAAGCAACAAAGGGCAATAACTCTGTAATTACTTTAGATAGAGTTATGGTTCTTGTGCACTGCACTTCCCCTTATTGTGTTTGACAATTGTATGAAGTTGTTTTGAATTCCAACCAGTAGTTTTCAAGTTATGCCACGGACAAGGAAAAGTAACAAAGGGCAATAACTCTGTAATTAGTCAAGATAGAGTTATGTTTCTTACGCACTGCACTTCCTCTCAATGTGCTTGACCATTGTATGTAGTTATATTGAATTCCAACCATTAGTCTTCAAGTTATGCTCCGGACAAGGAAAATGCAATGGACAAATAAAAAGCAATGGAAATCAACAAAGGGCAATAACTCTGTAATTACTTTAGATAGAGTTATGGTTCTTGTGGACTGCACTTCCCCTTATTGTGTTTGACAATTGTATGAAGTTGTTTTGAATTCCAACCAGTAGTTTTCAAGTTATGCCCCGGACAAGGAAAAGTAACAAAGGGCAATAACTCTGTAATTAGTCAAGATAGAGTTATGGTTCTTGTGCACTGCACTTCCTCTCAATGTGCTTGACCATTGTATGTAGTTATATTGAATTCCAACCATTAGTTTTCAAGTTATGCTCCGGACAAGGAAAATGCAACGGACGTCTGGACCGACCGACCGACCGACCGACCAACCGACCGACCGACCACCGGTGACTCCTATATACCCCCAAACTTCGTTTTTGGGGGTATAATAAAATTAATGATGATTGTTTTTAAACTTTCTCTTTAAAAACGTGATAAAATTGACAACATAGCAGGTGCTAAGGGGCGTTAGGGATGTTGCACTTTTTCATTATCCCTCATGTACAGACTCAACCAAACCGAGTCTGCAATTTTCATCTAATCGTGCTGTTTTTAATTGTTTCCGAGGGATCATTTTTTTCAAAATATTTAGAAAAAAGACAAATAATTGATACAAAATTATATATGTTTATACAAATTAGATTTAGGTGGATTGTACAGCAAGTTTTTAACTAATATCAATAACTCTCGAAACCTCATTCCTGATAGAATTTATCGCCAGAGAAGAGGCCAGTTTCTCCCTTTTAATGCTGAGCGCTATGCAAGGGAACTACTGGTACCACGTTTTTTGTATGACACGACCAGGGATCGAACCCACGACCTCCAGCAAACGAAGTGGACGCTCTTCCACTTAAGGCTGTTAATTTAACAAAATCATGGAACAACGATTTAAAAACAATTCTTACTTGAATGTAAGTTATTGACATCATTTCCGTTCTTATTCCATGGGATATGTCCGCGTCCACATTCTCATAGTTATCTATATTGACGTCATCATCAGTACTACAATAACATGTTGAGTTATCCTCATTAAAGTAAGCCGATGCCAGTTTAAGACTTTGGCAATGATAAACGCATGATACCAATGACTTTTCATGATGTAGAATCACCGTTGCATCGGTTTGAGGAATATGAGATACCTTTTCTATTTTAAACGTAGATGTAGAACGTCCCCTTTCCAAAGTATCTGCTTCTGAATAACAATGATTAGTCCCGAGGAAAATAAAAATAAATCCAACAATGCCTTGGACGCACGTAAGTAAATTACTTTCCATGTTATCTAAGCCTATGACAGCAAATAAAAAAACTGAACTCGCCAAGAATCCTCCGAGAAAAATAACAACTTCATGAACATTGTTATGAATAATTTATCTCTTGTAATTACCTACTAAATCAGTGTGGCAATACCACGTGACATTGACGTCATTTTCGGCATCATTTCCAAGACAAATGTTGCTCGATTCGGAAAAGGAAATAGCCGTAAATATTTTATTTCTGTACCCATTTCTTTGGGATATGCACCAGTCTACGGGGAAAAATATAAGCTTTCCACAGAATATTGTATCTTCGTCAGTTTATAAGCCGTTTTGTCAAACACTTTGCATAACCTTTGCTTGTATTAGAGCGGGCTTCAGTTGCAAGCGATTTCGTTTTCTGGCGTTATCTGGTATACGTCATGATTAAAAACTCAGGTTTACATCAACCGGGAGTATTGAAGGCAAAACTCTACCTAAATATGTTCATATTTTTTATAATGAATGACATAAATCTTAAATTTTTCTTCAATTGACAATTCTGGCACCAGTTCCAAGTCGAAAAAAAAAGACTACAGTTTAAAGCAGATTTTAGAATCCGTTGCAAATGCAAAGCAACATGCCTACCGTTCTCTTTCTACAATTTAGTTTTTCATTGTTGATCTTTCACAGAGAGATTGTGAAAAAACTGATTGTTCCTTAAAGCAATTACACTTACTTGTATCGCAATAGTGCACGTCAAATCACGTAGATTTAGTCTGTCGGAAAAATAATATTTTTTTTCGTTTTGAAAGATGTTTAAAGTATTGCTCATTTTATCCAATGTAGTTAAAATGTGTTTTATTCTATTTCACAATGGCGAAATTGATAAGAAATATATGTGCTCTCAGTGAGAGAAAGAGTTAAAAAAAATACTTTTGTATGCTATGGAAAGGGTTACATGTTGTAAAGCTAAAGGTATTGTTTCAGTTTATTTTTGTAAAGAGTAACTGACAAACACTGACACTCGTGAATGTGACGAATAGGTTCTTCTGTCCTCAAAAGACAGACTTTTAAAAAGGTATATATATTTTTTCTGGAATTGTTGTATAATAAATTTCTATAGAGTTTTTGATAAACGAAATCACAATTTGAACTTGGACTTTGCCGTGTAAATCTGATAGTATTATTACTTAGTTGCATTACTTGTGATTCTCTATATATTAAAAAGACCCAAAATAGCCATGAATAAGAACGGGAATGGACGCTTTTTGGAGTAAACAAAGTAGAAAATAGTAAACAGATTAAATGATTTTACAAACCAACAGCCATCGATCACAGTCAAATTTTCTTGAAACAAACATTCAAAAAGACCGGAAATACCAATGATTATCAAATAATTATATTAAATATTTTACTTAACATCTGTAAATAGCAACATCGGCAAGATCTATGACTGGGGCCATATGCCACTGATGCGTCCATGGAATAATTGGGTAGCTAAAATAAGGGCTTAGTAAAAATTCGATTTAAATTTGAAAAAGTTTTATTAAATTTTTTTTTCCTTCAACTGTAAAATGATTACTTTTTTTATTTACATATCATTTTTAATTCCCCTTATTTTTTATTGCGTATGTTTTAAATTTTTTTAAAATTTTAATGTTGGCCCTTTTTTAAAAATTTAAAAAAATTTCTAAAAAAACCCTTTTGATTACTTTTGGGGCAGGTCTTTGCCGCGGGGCAATAATCCTCATTTACACCCAATGAAACCCCTCGTTAAAAATATCCCCCAAATAGCCCTATCGTTTTTATTCAGTTGAAAGAGACATTATTGTTAAAAAGTTCTATTCGATTTAAATGTTTTCAAACCATAAATATTCCGTTCCCTTCCTCTCTTTACAATGTATATTGGTGAGCTCTCTGATAAAGCTGAGTTGACTGATATAATTAACTTAATTTGTCAGATATGCAGTCTATCAACAGAAATAAATGCAATTATAAAATAGATAGTGTTTAATAGTGTGTTTAAAAGTGATCTTAAGTGAAACGAAGTTATATCCAGTTCACGAAAAACGGTTACCGGTGGGTATGAAAACAGGATGTAAAAATATTTTTTATCAACAAGTGCCACTGTGTTAAAAAGCTGAATCTATCATACTAAAACATTGCTACAGGTTCTTTATATATATATACATGGTTATACGTATAAATAAACTCGAGATCTTTACAAAAGAATAACCTTTGACTTTAAAAATTGCCGCGTTGAGGACGTAACCCTTTTCACAGCATACGAAGTGATTCCTGAATGTGCACGTTCATTGGACAGGCTAGCTAAGTCATTCCGAGCCTGCAACATTTTCAATTTTGCCGTTTTGGGCGATATTTAGGGTTTTTGTTTTCAATTCCACGTTTAGTATTGCTACATGACTCAAATAGATTTTTCATAATCATTACCGTGAAAGAACAATGATTAAAAAGCAAATCAATTTCTTTACAAATACAGACAACAAGTTTACGACTTTTAAAATCACTTATAGCGCAGCGAGTAAAATCATTCAAATATTCATTTGTGTTTATGTAAATCTTTTAGTAAATAAAATGTTTTTCATGGTTAACATAATTATAGAAAGAGAACGGTAGGCATGTTGGCTTTGCATTTGCAACGGATTCTAAAAATCTGCTTTAAACTGTAAGTCTTTTTTTTCGACTTGGAACTGGTGCCAGAATTGACAATTGAAGAAAAATTTAAGATTTATGTCATTCTTTATAAAATATGAACATATTTAGGTAGAGTTTTGCCTTCCGTACTCCCGGTTGATGTAAACCTGAGTTTTTAATCATGACGTAGACCAGATAACGCAGAAAACGAAATCGCTTGCAACTGAAGCCGCTCTAATACAAGCAACTTCAAAGGTTATGCAAAGTGTTTGACAAAACGGCTTATAAACTGACGAAGATCAAATATTCTGTGGAATGCTTATATTTTTCCTCGTAGACTGGGGGCATATCCAAAGAAATTGGTACAAGAATAAAATATTTACGGCTATTTTCTTTTCCGAATCGAGCAACATTTGTCTTGGAAATGATGCCGAAAATGACGTCAATGTCACGTGGTATTGCCACACTGTAAATAGATACAACCCTGCATGTTTTTCCAGTTGTTGCTTTACAAGAGTTAATGACTCGCCTCGTTTCTATTTTCTTTACATGGGAATGAAAAATCAATTATGATAAAATACATATGCATGAAAAATGTACTTTAATCCACCTCCTCTGTAAATTGTATAAAACACAATGCATGCATCTACGTAACGCCCGATACAAAAATATCATGTATCCTCCAGCGTCCCGCGTCGACGTTCCGGATGTGACGTAATGAATGCCAAACGCCGGTACATCTGTGCGCTATGTACCACTGAGCTTTTCAAAGTAACGACCCAGATGCAGCATTTGTGACGATGAAACCACTGTCGTTAAATGACATCAGCGTGTCACACCTCTTGATGTTGGAGTTTGCGCTATCTAAATTGGAATCTTATAAATAATAAACTATGCCGGCTGTAATGATTTTTGTTGTCAAAAGATCAATAAATTGCGTAGGATTAGTTTATACGTAAAGAGACCAGAACACACTTTTAACAGATAAGTACATTAAGGAAATCCTATCATTATTTTAAGATAAGCTTTTTTTCTCATTTAGAAGGAAACGATTTGTCTGTTCCTTGAAATATCCTTTTCTTTTTTTATCCTCTGTTTTACAAAAATATTAGATT